TCAGGGGGTTGGGGCGCCTTCCCCTGTCACGAACAGAGCAGGGCCGATAGGGAGTTTGTGGCCCCGCCCCCTGTCACACACAGAGCCGCAGGGCGATCAGGGGGTTTGGGCACTGCCCCGTGTCACGCTGATCCTGGTGCCGGGAGGCCTCTCAGCTCCGCTGATCCTGGTCCTGGGAGGCATATTACCCTTTTACTATATAGAATATAGGCCTGGTGCATGGGTGGGACTGGCTGGTTTGCCTGAAGGGTGTCCTGGATCAGGGTGGGGGTCCCCACTGCGGTGCCTGGCCAGCCTGGGTGAGGGGATGATGGTTGTCTGCAGCTGGTCACACACACTTCAGGGTGGGGGTCCCTACTGGGGTGCCAGGCCAGCCTGGATGAGGGGATGATGGCTGTTTGCAGCTGGTCACACACCCTTCAGGGTGGGAGTCCCCACTGGGGTGCCTGGCCAGTCTGGGTGAGGGGCTGAGGGGTGTTTTCAGGCTGGGACTGAAGCTCCCAAATGCTCCTTTCTTTCTTTTTTTTTTTTTTTGTATTCTGGGCCAGCTTTAGCTCTGGCTCCAGCTCTGAGGCTTCAGATGCTGAAAGTAGGTATCTGGTTTGTTTAGGTTCTATAATCGAAACTTTGTATCAACTCCAGCTCTGAGATCCCAGCCGGCTGGAAGCTGGTTTCTGGGGTTTTGTTTAGCTTCTATATTTGTTACAATGTTTCTTAAACTGCAAGCTCAGAGGCTGGCAAGGCAGGCGGGGAACGTTGGTTTCCTCCGTCACTAAAGCAAGAAAGTCTCATGTTAGTTTCAAGCTGCCTGGCTGCCGGCCGCCATCTTGGCTGGCAGTTAATTTGCATATCGCCCTGATTAGCCAATGGGAAGGGTAGCGGTCCTACGCCAATTACCATGTTTCTCTTTTATTTTATAGGACTAGAGGCCCGGTGCACAAAAATTTGTGCACTTGGTGAAAGGGGGGGGGGGTCCCTCAGCTCTGCCTGTGCCCTCTCGCAGTCTGGGACCCCTCGGGAGATAACGACCTGCTGGCGTAGGCCTGCTCCCAGGTGGCAGAGGGCAGTCCCAATCCCTAGGTGCAGCGCCTGGTCGAGCTCAGAGCAGGGCCGATTGGGGACTTAGGGCGCCGCCCCTGTCATGCACAGAGCAGTGAGGATCGGGAGGTTGCGATGCCACCCTCAGTCATGCTCATGGTAGGGCTGATTGGGGGGTTGGGGCACCGCCCCGTCACACTCAAGGCAGGGTCGATGGGGAGGTTGTGGCACCAACCCTTGTCACGCACAGAGCAGGGCCAATCAGGGGGTTGGGGCGCTGCCCCCTGTCACTCACAGAGCAGGGCCGATCAGGGGGGTTGTGGCTCCACACCCTGTCACGCACAGAGCAGGGCCCATCAGTTGGTTGGGGCACCGCCCCCGTCACACACAGAGCCGCAGGGCGATCAGGGGGCTTGGGCGCTGCACCCTGTCACGCTGATCCTGGTGCTGGGAGGCCTCTCGGTTCCGCTGATCCTAGTGCTGGGAGGCCTCGCGGCTCCGCTGTTCCCGGTGCTGGGAGGCATATTACCCTTATACTATATAGGATAGAGGCCTGGTGCATGGGTGGGGGCCGGCTGTTTTGCCCTGAAGGGTGTCCTGGATCAGGGTGGGGGTCCCCACAGGGGTGCCTGGCCAGCCTGGGTGAGGGGATGATGGCTGTTTGCAGCTGGTCACACACCCTTCAGGGTGGGGTCCCCACTGGGGTGCCTGGCCAGTCTGGGTGAGGGGCTGAGGGCTGTTTTCAGGCTGGCGGGTGACTGAAGCTCCCAACTGCTCCTTTTTTCTTTTTTTCTTTTTTTTATTCTGGGCCAGCTTTAGCTCTGAGGCTCCAGCTCTGAAGCCTCTGCTGCTGAAAGCAGGTATTTGGTTTGTTTGGGTTCTATAATCGAAACACTGTTTCAACTCCAGCTCTGAGATCCCAGCTAGCTGAAAGCAGGTTTCTGGGGTTTTGTTTAGCTTCTATATTTGTAACAATGTTTCAAACTACAAGCTCAGAGGCCGGCAAGGCAGGCGGGGAACGTTGGTTTCCTCCGTCACTGAAGCAAGCAAGCCTCATGTTAGCTTCAAGCTGCCTGGCTGCCGGCTGCCATCTTGGCTGGCAGTTAATTTGCATATCGCCCTTTTTAGCCAATGGGAAGGGTAGTGGACGTACGCTAATTTCCATGTTTCTCTTTTATTAGATAGGACTAGAGGCCCGGCGCATGATTAAATCATGGGTGTGTAGGGCCCCATAGGCCTAGCTGCCATCAGGGCCATGTCCGCTGCCCCACAATGCCTCACACACTCCACAGCCGCTCCCGGTGCGCTCTGACGCTCCGCGGATGCTGCCGGCACCCCAGTCATGGTGGGGGGGGGGGCGAGAGGTGCTCCATGAACTTCATGATGACTGGTTGTTTGGTCATTTCGGTCGTGAAGCCTCTGGCCTTCTATAATTATGATAGATGAGAATCCAGCAATGTTGGATATAAGAACAATTTACGAAACCCAATAGTGTGCCCTGACCGGTTTTGCTCAGTGGATAGAGCGTCAGCCTGCGGACTGATGGGTCCCAGGTTCGATTCCAGTCAAGTGCATGTACCTTGGTTGTGGGCACATCCCCAGTGCGGGGTGTGCAGGAGGCAGCTGATCGATGTTTCTCTCTCACTGATGTTTCTAACTCTCTATCCCTCTCCCTTCCTCTTTGTAAAAAAATTAATAAAATATATTTTTAAAAAACACCAAAGCAAACAAAAAAAACCCAATAGTGTTCTACACTGCAAAAAAGATGCCCCTCACAACAAAAACTGATAACATTTGTAGAAATTAACAGATACTTAAGGTTTTTATAAAGATAATTTCCAAACTCTAGTAAGGCATTAAAAAATTAGAAGAAATGTAGATATTTTCAAAGTAAAGATGTCAAATCTTCCCTACGTAAACCTATAAATTCAATATAATCCCAATAAAAATTCCAGCTAGATTTAAAAAATGAAACTTATTATACTTCTTCTAAAATGTCAATGGAAGAATAAAGGTCCAGAGAAAGTGAAGCTAATTTTGGTAAACAGTAAAGGAGGTTAGGGGAAACTGGTCTTCTATGTGTTCAGACATATTACCAAGCCATATAACTAAAATCATTTGTTCCTCAGCAACTTGAATTAAAGACGAGAATGGAATGTTCACAAATAAATACACATATTGATATATGATAATGGTAGAACCACAGAGCAATGTGGAAAGGATGGACTACTGACTACGGAAAACTGGCATAGGACATAAGAAAAGTCAGCTGGACTCTTTAAACTCACTTCATAGGTAACAATGGGCCTGGCAGTCACTAGAGACCTAAATCTAATCTACAAAAGAAGCAAACAGAGAGCGAATACAGAGAAAAATATCAAGACCGAAATACTAATCACACCATGAAAAAGTCACAGGTTTAAAACCAATATAATATTTTTAAAAATGACATTATTTGAAGGATACCATCCAAAATGTTAATAGTCAGGTGACTAAGAAAAGATCCTTGTAATGTCTAAAACTTAGGAATTAATATCTAGACATCCAAAAAGGTCTGAAGGGTTAGGTTGGGCAGATAGGACATCACTCTCAAAAAAACAAGCAAAGGAGTCAATAATATTGTAATAACTGTGTATGGTGCCAGGTGGGTACTAGAAATATTGGAGGGAACCATTTTGTAAAGCATATGATTGTCTAACTGGTATGCTGTACACCTGAAACGAATACAAACTAATACTGAATGTAAACTGTAATTGAAAAAGAAAAACAAGCAAAAGATATCATAGAAGGGGTTATACTGAGGGAACCTTAGGAATCAAAAACACTCATCTTGTATAATCACACAAATGCAAATGAAAACAGACTCCAAACAGAGGGGAAGATCAAGTAGGGCCAGGTCCATAATGGGTGGGGTACTAGGCAGAGGAGGCCAGGCAGCTCAGGACACCACTAACAAAAATGTGGGGGTACAAAGCACAGAATCCCCCAGAGCTGTTGGGAGCAACAGAAGAAATGTTCACAGAGTGATATGGGCAGATTTTACCCAGAGTTCAATGCAAAGAGGAACAAAGTTTACACGGTATCACAGCTGTATATAGTTTAAAATCAGAACCCACCCACCAACACAATGTACTTTTTAAGAAGTTAACATATGTGAGAACACAGATACCCACTCCATCAGAACAGGTGCCTGTAACTGGGGGACAAGGTGAGAATGAAAGACCCAAAGAGAAGAAATATGCAGAGTGCCTGAACAAACCAGTGAGGACGTGCTCTGAGCTCTTTAATCTGCACTCTGCCCTGAACATCCCAATCAAGAATTAGAAAGTAAGGGAAGAAAAGAGAAAATCAGGAAATCATTAGGAAGCTAAATCAGCTTTAACTCCATTGTGTCCATTGGGCAAGGTTCAAGTACAGCGCACAGGGCCTGGGCACAGACCCCAGCCTCTGGGGCTTGTGTCACAGCAGTGCAGCCATGGGAACACCATTGTAACCGGGCTTCTGCTTCCTTAACTACAAAATGAGAAGTAGGATTCAATGACCTAATCTATAAGGTTGTTTCCAGCTCTTTCTAGATTCTATGAGTTCATAGTTCTTCAGTAAACATTAAAAAGCAGACACCCAAATTGAAAATAAATGGTATAGATGTTTTCCTTTTAATTACCAACTTTAGCAAAGGCAATCTTTCTCCAATAAAAAATAAACTAAAAATATTTAGGACCAACACAATTCTCAGAACTGTAAGAAAAGAAAAAAAATTGCAGTCTAAATCCCCTTTCAACATTAATTCTATAGTGCTACTTCTTAGACAATTATAGACCTAATGATGAAAAGATCTGTTTTATAAGGATGGCAGAGCTTGCCAATATTTTAAATGACATGGGTATGAGTCTCAAAGCTGGTCTTTCCTTCTTGAGAATTCTTCTATTACAGAAGGATGCCAACATCCAAGAACACAATACCTTTCCAGCTGACACATGGCCCTGGCTTTCTGTTGTGATCTTGTTCCTCTAATGGTGTCCTATCCACCTGAATTCCAGAATCCTCTCTGCTCCAGGGCTGTGTATCATCTTCATCCTCGCTTTCTTCAGACCAATTCTGATGAAGAAAGGAAAAACACCTATCCTTAGAAGGTGTAACAACAGAAGCAACTTATATTAAAAGATTAGGAAGATTTCAGAGGAAAAGCAGCAACTATACCAAATGAACTTTTTCTAAATGTCTTGAATGGATGGAATTATTTTTGGTGGCAAAAATCCCCTCACAGTTCTTTAAAGGATACTTTCCATTCACTTTCCTAGTACTAATGATTTCATATAAAATCTTAATAAATCCCCCATAATAAACTACTCTAGTTCACTGAAGAGAATTTCTGTTTTAGTTAAGTTGCTGCAGGACAGAAGAGCCCATAAAAGTCATCTACATCACTTGGAAGGTATTTGTATTTTCAATAGGAAAACTATTGACACTTACCGGTGTGTCTATATTTGGACTAAGGTCAATTTCTTCACCTTCCATTAAGTATTTCCCCCAGTCAAAATCATCTTTCTTTTCTAAAATGTAACAGAAGAATCTCATCAGTTTTATCAAATATGTGTGGGGAAAAAATCCACCCCAAAACTATAGGGAAAAAGTCTACCAAAACTCAAAATAAAACTTAGAAATGTTTCTAATACATTTAAATTTCTTTTATCAAAAGTAATTTTTCTCTTTATATAATTGAGATTAGTTCAACTTACAAAGTCAGAATTTACATTTTAAATGAAAATTTGCAATTGCAATTGTATACAATGCAACAGAAATATTTTAGTTTCATAGATTTTTACAAAGTTTATAAAAACCAATTAAACATTAAAAATAATTTCTTTGCTATATATTACAGTATCTGAAAACGTACCCACTTCTTTATCTCTTGGCATTTCCACGTAATTGCTGTTTGAAGGAGAGTCAGAAAGACATAGGAGAAGTGACAGTATGGAATAATGCGCATCTGTCTTTAAAACCAAAAAGAAAAAGAAAAAAGAATATGAGCCACTGAGGTTGGTAAGAGCTTTTAAAATCAGTTTGAGTAAAGAAAAGATAATCCCATGACTGTTATGTACCCAATTTTTTTCTAGATTGAGAAAACATGAATTATCCTATATAATAAAAGACAGCCTAATATGCAAATGGTACCCTCAACCAGGAGTTCTGCTGGGAGTTTGATCACTTGCTATGATGTGTGCTGACCACATGGCAGGTGTTGGCGACGTGGCGCTGGCAGCGGGCAGCAGTGGAGGCACTGCAGGCCCCAGTGGGCCCCGACAAGAGTGGGACTGGGGCGGGATGGTGGAGCAGGTGAATGGGTAGCACCAGGCAAAGGTGGGTGCGAGCCACTGGTCACCGGGCAGGGGCCAAATGCTCCGCCGCCACCGCCGCTAGTCACCCTGCGATCGGATCAGCGAGGCGATTGGGCCCCACAGGCGGCAACCAGCAGCAGTGGTGGGTGCTGGGGCCGCCGCCAGGCTCCCTCAGTGCCTGGGAGCCAGGCAGCAACACGATTGGCAGGGCAATTGGGGCCCTGGAGGCAGCACCCTGCACCCAGGTGCTGAGGGAGAAACAGCAAACTGCAATTTTAAAATATTTCTTCTAATTATTTTCCTTTCACTGTGCACGAATAAGTGCACCGGGCCACTAGTTACCTAAATAAAACCTAACCTCTAAACTATTCTTTGGAATTTTATTTTTCAATTACAGTTTACATTCAATAGTATTTTGTACTAGTTTCAGGTATAAAGTGATTCCCCCGATATTTCAGTCACCCACCTGGCACCACACATAGTTATCACAATATTGCTGACTATATTCCCTACATCATACTTTACTTTCTGTTGTGATCTTGTTCCTCAAATGGTGTCCAATTCTGATGAAGAAAGGAAAAACACCTATCCTTAGACACCCCAGGATGTCTATTCTGTAACTGCCAATGAGTACTTCTTAATCCTTTCACCTTTTTCACCTAGTCCTCCAAACCCCATCTCCTCTGGCAACCACCAGTCTCTTCTCTGTATCTATGACCTTGTTTCTGTTTTGTTTATTTTGTCCTTTAGACTACACGTATAAGTGAAATAAGATGGTATTTGTCTTTCTCTGCCTGACTTATTTCACTCAGCATAACACCCTTTTATTTAGGTCCGTCCATGCGGTTATGAATGGTTAAGAGTTCATTATTTAGTGGCCAATGAATAGTCCATCATATATGTACCGCTCTATTTTTTATACTTCAAATGTGCATACGTAGGGAACCTGTCAAAAATGCATTACCTAGTCGAAACTGGTTTGGCTCAGTGGATAGAGCGTCGGCCTGCGGACTGAAAGGTCCCAGGTTCGATTCCGGTCAAGGGCATGTACCTGGGTTGCGGGCATATCCCCAGTAGATGTGCAGGAGGCAGCTGATTGATGTTTCTCTCTCATCGATGTTTCTAACTCTCTATCTCTCTCCCTTCTTCTCTGTAAAAAATCAATATATTTAAAAAAAAATGCATTACCTAAATCATAATGAGGAATCATCAGGCACACCTAAATTGAGAGACAAGTTACCAAATAATTGGCCCGTGCAGGTCAAGAAAAAGAAAGGCTAGGGAACAAATCCAGATTAGATATCAATTGCTGAACCTGAGCAAGGGAGCATACGAGTTCCTTTTACCATTCTTTTTTTTTTTTAAATTTATTATTTATTTATTTAAATCTTTATTGTTCAGATTATTACAGTTGTTCCTCTTTTCCCCCCCATTTGCTCCCCTCCACTCGGTTCCCACTCCACCTTCTGCCCTTACCCCCCCCCCCCCACTGTCCTCATCCATAGGTGTACAATTTTTGTTCAGTCTCTTCCCGCACCCCCACACCCCTTTCCCCCCAAGAACTGTCAGTCCACTCCCTTTCTATGCCCCTGATTCTATTATATTCACCAGTTTATTCTGTTCATCAGATTTTTTATTCACTTGATTTTTAGATTCACTTGTTGATAGATATGTATTTGTTGTTCATAATTTTTATCTCTACCTTTTTCTTCTTCTTCCTCTTCTTAAAGAATACCTTTCAGCATTTCATATAATACTGGTTTGGTAGTGATGAACTCCTTTAGCTTTTTCTTATTTGTGAAGCTCTTTATCTGACCTTCAATTCTGAATAATAGCTTTGCTGGGTAATTTTGGCTGTAGGTTCTTGCTATTCATCACTTTGAATATTTCTTGCCACTCCCTTCTGGCCTGCATAGTTTCTGTTGAGAAATCACCTAACAGTTGTATTTCGGCTGACAGTGAGAAATTGAGGAATTGACCTCCAGGCCAATTGGCTGTGAGAATCAGCTGTGTCTACGGTGGGAGAACTTCTGTGCTGAAGACACCCTTATGAGACAAGGCTTGCTTCAGTGGGGCTTTGGTGCTCACTGAGTCTGCCCCCTGAGTGTGTCCCTTATGGATCTGAGGAGTTGTAATTGGATGGTCCCACTCTGACCACTGGGTACACTGGCTCTTGGATCTCTAAGGAGGTAACAATTTAGCCTCTGCCTGAGGCTACCCAGCAGGGGCTACGGAGAGATCTGCAGATTCCTCTTCTTTGTTTGGGATTTGGAGGTGCCCAGATGAGGCCCAGCTGTGAAGCAATGCAAGCTGCTGTGGGGTCTTGGGCCTTCTTTTGGAAGTTCTGGGTCTCTCTGACCCAGCTCCAGTTTGTTAGGAAATTTTAGATTGCAAAGGGCCAGGTCATTCATATGCAAAAGCCTCTGCACACATCTTAGGTGGGGCAGGGTCTCAGGGAATCAACAGGGCAGAGCAAACAGCTATGGCTGATCCTCAGCCCTGCCCTAAGCGGCCCTGGGTCTCAGTGTCCCACGGTAATCGCTGCAAACACCTCTGAGAGAAAGCCACCCTCGAGTTCCGCCTGCTGCCAGACAGTCCAGTTTCTCCCCCTATGAGTCTGGGTCACCGGAGACTCGCCCAGAACTGGAGTCGGGGCCATCGGGAGCTTGTGTCTCCCTCCCGATTGAAAAAGACAGCCGTGTCCTCAGTTGCCAGCCCTTTTCCGCGTGTGCCTCCGTACTTCTGAACTTTACTTCCGCACCTCCTCTGAGTCTCTGGTTTCTCCTCCCTTTTACTATTCTTTAACTTTTCTTTATATTTCTTTAAAACTTAAATTATATTTAAAAAATTATATTTAGAAAGTTACCAAGAACAAAAACATTGCAAATTTGTTAAAAGTCAAAACTATGCATGGAAAGGAGAGGTGGGTTAAATTCAAGGAAGGCATGGGAGTGTCTGATACCTATAGAATAGGGACCAACTCTCCCTATTCTGTAGTCCAGAGCACCTCTGTGCATCTCCATTGTGTTAATCACCCTATATAATAAAAGCCTAATAAGCAAATCGACCAAATCGCAGTACGACCAGTCACTATGACGTGAATGGACCACCAGGGGGCAGATGCTCAATGCAGGAGCTGTCCCCAGTCTGCAGGCCCCAGGCCAACCAAGGTGGGTGCCAGAGGGGGGACCCCCTGATCGCCCCACAGATTGGCCCTGATCACTGGCCAGGCCTAGGCACCCTACCCGTGCATGAATTTCATGCACTGGGCCTCTGGTAATAATAATAATTAAATAACTATTCAATGGTACCATGTCTTTTTTACTTTGTATATCTACCACTTAGTATGATGCTAGAGATAGAATACACACTTGGCAAACTTTCCTGGAAACAAAGCTCACTAATAAGGCTGCAAGGGCTTCCTTTTTATTGGTAATTTCTCATCTGCTTAGAAATGTGTGAGATTCCTTCACAAAGAATTTTTTATTCCCCAGAGAAAAATCATGTAAAATGGAAATACAGTTGACCCTTGAACAATGCAGGGGTTTGGGATGCTGACCATGCACACAATGAAAAATGTACATATTCGGATTCCCAACTGCCAGCAGACCCTTGAATGACTTGGGTTTGAACTGCATGGCTCAATTGAAGTGGGTGATTGCATAACTGGACCCACATTGTTCAAGGGTCAACTGGACTTGAAGAAAATAACTCCCACTGTATAAATCTATTAACAATTGCTGTCAGATTGGATTTGGTGTGTGTGTGTGTGGAGGGTTTTATGCACCTGAAAGAGGTGAAACTTACCAGAGGAAAGATGTGTGGAGTATGGCACAATGGAGGGAGGTGGTCTTAAAATCCTGTCACCAAAAACTAATTATAAAGCTGCACAAGATTGACAAGACAACCATTTCAGTGCTCTGCTTCAAGCACAGGAAGAGTTAATCCATAAAAATGATCTTGTGGCCACTCAGAAACTCCATTTCTTAAAAATGACCCATTCTCTTTTCTGTTCCGTCCACTCCCTCTTAGAAGATCAGAGTCTGGTCAATATCAAACTGTCTTAAGAACAAGCCTCAGGTCTGTGGACCTCAGAAACAGTTCTGTCAAGGTAAAGATAACACCGTAACTTCAGTTGTATTTCAGTCCCAGACCCATGAAACCCTGAATAACCCCATGGGACACATCCTTAAGAAACCAGACAGAACGATGCCATGATTGTATCAGGACATGATACAAGAATCAACTACTCCCTCCCCTGGTCCCAACCAATCAGCAGAGTGCATGATCTCAACTCTGTTAGCCACCATACCATGATTAATGTTTGTCCCCCCATATAACCCATTCCCTGGAAGCCATCGAGGAGCTAGGTCTTTGAGCATTGTTTACCTATGACTCTGGGCTTGGCACCATTTCCTGAATAAACCCTTTCTTTCTTGGATGGAAACTCCTGATCACATCTGATTGGGCCACTGAGTCTGGTTACAACCTCAGGTAAGAATAGTGTGAGTTTGTGGCACATCTGCCTGGGGCCATCTCCCTGCCTCCCTCCAGCTCCATCAGAGTGGCAGTTCAACCAGGACTGGACAGGCAATGAAAACAAGCAGCCTTGTTGCTGTTCTCAAAGGAGGTTCACTTGAACCTGAGAGCTGTCC